AGCCCCTGACCTTCTCTCAGGCTCGCTCCTCAGAGAAGACACAGGTTGAAGCTAATTGCTCTTTCATCTTTGGCTGTAGCCACATCCCCACTAGCAGGAGGTTCTGAACGTGAATTAAAGATCAGATATTCCTCAGGTGTCTGGCCAGAACTGACCAGACCTGAAAGTCAGCTACCTAATCCTTCATCCAATTATGAGTAGCCAGGACGGCAACCCCTGAACTTCCCTGTGCCTCATCTCCTAACAACCTGAGGCTTATGTCTCTGGGGGCCCACTCTTAAAATTTTTAAAAACATATTTCCAACATAGCCAGGGCTATTATCTGTTTTACGTTGTGTTGGAAGTTTTAATATAGCAATTGCTGACAGCGTATGAGCAATAACATTTTTTCCAGCTTTACCAGTTTGGAGTGTGGAAAATATAAACCCACTACAAGTGTCAACAAAAACATGAACATATTTTAAATTACCAAATTTAGGAATATGTGTAACATCCACTTGCCAAATAACATTAGGTACAAGGCCACAGGGATTGACCCCAAGATGGGAAGTAGGTAAAAGGACAACACAAGAAGGACATTGTTTAAACAAGTCAGCTTTATAATTACCTTAGTTAAAGGTCCTGGAAGGTTAGAATGAGCTTGTAAATGTCCAATGTAAAAGGAAAAGTTTTTTTTTTGTATTAAATTTTGAATTTGTAAAAATAATTTTAGCAGGAGAAGATGTTTAAATTTAATTTGCAGTCTCTAACCTAGGCAAAGACTAAGCTACATAGGCACTATCTGTAAAAATGTTTAAAGACTGTTTATTAAAACTTTAAAACACAGCCAATACTGCAGGTAACTGTTATTTGCACAGATGTGCTAGACACTTGAAAAGATGCATCAACAGGTTGGACTTTGTCATAATAAGCTTACGTATGTTAAAATGCCATATTTATTAGATCTCTGACAAGCTTGAGGGCCAGCATATCTGAGTTACTCTTTATCTTTATCATCTGCTCTAAACTGTGTAAAAAAAAACTAAACAAAGACACTAGGTATAGCTTAACATCTTAACCAACTGTAGTTGTTAGCATAACTTTAAATCTGCTCTTTTTGAACTAAAATTAAAGCAAACCTTTTAGTCAGATACAGTTCATAGAGAAGCTAGCAAATCTTGCTGCTCCTACCGCTTGCATTAAAATTGAACAGTAAAAAGCTTTGCATTTAGCACTAATCAGATGACTGAACATAACTCAGAGACCTAAACAAAATGGTGGAAAACTCATAGCTCCACCCTCTTTATCTCCGGACCAGCATGGTGGCTGGCCATGTGTAACTGAACTCAGCTGTAAGCCCCAAACGAATATGGCGGCAAAACTACAGCTCCACGCTCTCTCTATTGCTGAACCATCATGGCAGCTAGCCACGTGTTAGCACAGGCTGCGACTGACAATACCAAACATAGCCATTAGATGCTGATGATGATACAGCAAACACTGTGGAGCATCCACAATCTAACTCTCTGGCTTTTTATAATACATTTACTAACCTTTTGCAACATTCTGTATACCTTCAGGTTCCTAGCTTTCTTTTTCTGGCTTAACTAGACATTCTTACTTTTTTGCTCTTTTTCTCTTGCTTTTTAGACAACACAAACAATACGGCAGGGTTTCATTTAGTAAAATTGATAAAATAAATATCCAAAATCATTGTCATACCCAAATGCCTGATAAACTTTAAGCATTTTATAGCCTTAAACATTTAAACATTTTTTTAAAACCCGTTTTTGTAATATCAAAACAAAATACCCCTTTTGTAGGAGAGAAGTCACAAGGCATAATCATAACCCTAACAAAACCAGAATTTACCAATGTAAACAACTTAATTTTTAAAACCAATGCCAATTTAAAATAACTCATTCTTTTAACCTAGAAGGAAATGAGAATTATTTGACCAAGGTTTTTTTTTTTTTTTTTTTTTTTTAACCCATATCAAGATGGCGGTTAAATTATAACCCACATGTTAAAGTCAAGATGGCGGTAAGGCACTGAGGTACCTCATATACCACGTGGTAACCCATGCGTTCATAGATCTAATGAACACATAGGCACACATTTTAAACAAGTTTTGTGAGGCCTTTCAGAACAGAAAGCAGAAGGTACGAATACTGCACAGAGACATTGAGACAAAAAGAAACATTAACCAGCTGGCCAAATTTATTGAAAATACTGATGAAGTTAGGGGCATCCCCCTGAACTGTGACCACCTCGATCACGTCTTGCTACCCAGATACAGGCACCTCGAGCTCTGAGGAATTTTTAGAACAGAGAACAGAAGGTACTACACGCACAAACATTGCACAGAAACATTTAGACACGGCTGGCATACAAAAACAAAACACAAGACAAGGACAAAAAACAACCGCGGTACCTGCTTTTTAAACATTTAAATATATATACAGAGCATAACCATGATTTTAAGTCAGAACTAGAGAAATTCAGAATTTATCAGTGAACACAATTTAATCTTTAAAACTAGAAGTGGCTCCATCTTTCTGGTTTCTGTTTGAGAGCTGGCTGAAGCTGACACTGGCTGAAGCCGGGAGGGGGCTGAGTAAATTGCAGTCCTGCTGAGCTCTGCAGCTGGCAGAGGCAGGTCTTAGGCCTCTGAGGGTTTAGGCGTTCTCATCCACCCAGTTCTCTGAAAGCCTGGCCCTTGGTAGGGGAGTGGGAAGGAGATAAGTAGAGTCCCAGTTCCTCCTGCTCACCGTGCTACGGCTCCGGCTCCGGCTCCGATCCATGCCCTTTGCCCCAGCCCACTTAGGGGCCTTCTTTGGGAAAAACGGGGAAAGCTAAGGAATTAACAGTAGTAACAGGGGGACAATTATTATCTTATCTCGACCTCTTTCTCTAAGGTCCTCGAGAGGGCAGGCTCCAACCTGATCCCACTTTTTGGCATATCTCTGGCCCATCAATAACAAACCATGGACAAATGTCTGACACAAAAACCAAGAACTTAATTAAGTCTTTTTTTTTCTTAACCCGAATTCCTCTCTCTCTGAGGGAAGTCTTTAATTCTTTAACGAATGATTGCCCCATCTTGAATTTAGACGGAAATGTAAAGCATTTACTTACCAGACTCTTGTTGTCCCACGGGTGATGGAACGGGAGCCTCTAATCTTGCCTTGGCCGAGGTCTTCGCTTCAGGGTCCGTCCGGAGAGACCCGTACTTCGAGCCCTCACGTTGGGCGCCACTCTGTCCCGCCCCGGACTTAGTTATTCGTGGGGGCGAAGAGGGTCAATCCTGAAAAAGATGGGGGAGAGAGAGAAAGGACACAAGCAGATGGTTGCCGGTCAAGTGTCTCTTTTATTGAACTTTGGTGTTTCTTTTAAAACGTGGTTTTGGCAGGGCGGGGGAGAGGGGCGAGAAAAGGGGAGTAGTAGTGGAAAAATACCAAGGCCCTTGGTGGGAAGTTCCCAAGGCTAAGAAGGTGGGTTAAAGAGTTACAAGGCCCGAAGATAATATCGGTGGTCACATCGGTGGTCACGGATGTGTCCCAAAGCAAACAGTTTGGGGAACAATGGGTTGTAAGAAGCTATGGCCTGCTGGCACCCGGTGCTTATCTGGCATGTCAGGCCCTTAGGAAGGGTCCCAGGGCTTTGCTCCCAACACCTTTTCCCCTCCCTTGAGCCTCTCCCAGTCTACTGATAAGGGAAGTCCTCCTCCCCTTCCCTCTGATCCTAGTCTATCAGGTCTCTTCAGGAGTGGCTGCATTGTCTTCTTCTGTGGCCTGGTAAGGCTGCACCCTCCTTGTGGGGGGAGGGGGATCAAACAGCAGGCCAATCAGTTCATGTCAGAGACAGTCCCTGTCCCCATTACTATGGAGGCCACTTGGATACTGAACAGCCATACGCTACCTCTGTGCAGGGGTTCCAGGCCATCGCCATGAGTGGTCCTTGGCTGGAGTATCAGTTTCAGAAAAGACCCCTGTGCCTGGACTTTTAGGATCTGTCACTGTCCTTGTGGAGCTCCTGTCCTCTCCAGGTCTTAGTATCTCCCACTTCTTCCCTAAGATTCCCTGCACTCTGCCCAGTTTGGCTATGAGTCTCAGCATCTGCCTCAATACCCTACAGGGTAAAGCCTTTTAGATGCCCTCTGTGGTAGGCTCCTGTTCCCTGTTTTCTCCCTCCTCCGATGTCCATCCTCTTTGCCTTTCTGAATGAGGACTGAGCATCTTAGCCAGAGTCCTCTTTCCTGATAGCTTCCTTAGGTGTACAGATTTTAGTATGTTTATCCTATAGTATGTCTAATATCCACTTATGAGTGAGTATATATACCCTGTGTATCTTTCTGCTTCTGGGATACCTCACTCAGAATGATCTTTTCCAGTTCCCACCATTTACCTACAAATTTCATGATTTCCTTGTTTTGTTTTGTTTTTTATCACTGAGTAATATTCCATTGTGTAGATGTACCACAATCTCTGTATCCATTCCTCAACTGAGGGGCATCTGGGCTATTTCCAGCTTCTGGCTATTACAAATAGAGCTGCTACAAACATGGTTGCGCACTCTGCAAGAAAAGATGAAAAATAAATGGACGAATATTTAAGGAAGTATAATTATTCTGCTTAACTAAAATGTGCAGTAGCCATGTGTTGAAATATCACACTGTATCCCATAAATGTATACAAAAAAATATGATGAAAAGAAAAACAAAAGGCAAACAAATAAATGTTTTTTGACTAGCACAAAGAGAGGAAAGGGAGTGCAGGTCTGGCCAGTAGCCACTGTCAGCTGAAAAATCGTTTCTCTGACTCCATAACTGGACCTTGAGATCAAGACTGCCTTAGCCCTCTTCCCTCCCACCTTTCCTCCTCTCACCTTTCTGCCTCCCTCCCTTATCCCTCCCTCCTTTCTTCCTCCCACCCTTTTCCCTCCCACAAGTAGGTGGGCAATCCTTAAAGCATTTAGGCAGGAGGTTGAAAAGATTGCTGAGAGTGAAGAGTGGCTGCACCATGAGTACCTCTGCTCTGAGCCCCACCAGATTTGTGGGCAGTGTCTCTGGCTTGCTCCAAGTGGCCGCCGTGCTTGGCCTCCTTCTACTGCTGTTCAAAGCTGCCCAGTTCTACCTGCACAGGCAATGGCTACTCAAGGCTTTCCAGCAGTTCCCGTCCCCACCTGCTCACTGGTTCTTTGGGCACAAGGTATGAAGAAAAGATAAGGGAGGGTGGGAGGGCAGAGAGGATGGGTGTCTCAGAGACTGACCATCAAGCTCACAGGACAAAGCCTGCTGTGTAAGATGTCCAAGTGCTTCATGAGATACCCAGCTCAGGCTCATATGCATTCTATCAATAGTTGCTCAACAAGTATGGCTGTTGCTCAACTCTGTACTGATAGCCCTGTATCTGGAAGGCTGTGGTTGGTCCTACCTAGCCTCCTCCTCTTCTGGCTGAGCACCTTTAATAGCATTTGCTGTTCTCAAACAACTTCTCGGTGGCTCCTTGCCTAGTCACTCATGGCTATTCTCTCCCCAAGCTTGGAGCTTGCCTGGGAACACAAACATCAGTGAAATAGAAATCTTGCTCCATGGGATTGTTGGTGTGGCAATAGCACACATCTGAGAAGCTCTTAGCACAGAAGAGTTCACACTGCTGCAGTGGGTGGCTGCCCCAGAGTAGGAGAGTTTTCAGGATAGGTGAATTGCAAGATGAAATCCTAAAGTCACAGCACATTAAAGGAAAAGGCTAATGTAGTTTTCCTCAGGGTCCAATTAGCTCTCCATTCCCCTTCCATGTACCCTGCACCGTGAGCTACTTGGATTCAAACACACACTCACTTTCCTGGACCACAGTGCTCAGCTCAAGAGCCAGGCACAGGTGTGTGAAATCACCCAGAAAGGAGATTGTATAGCAGTCTGTAAGCTAGGAAGGAACGGTACTGACCCCTTGCACTGTCACCCCAGGAAATAAGCATCAAGGAGGGTACATGGAAAGGCTTTCAACAAAGTAATGTGCAGTAGGTGCTCCTGGAAGGGCACGTGGGTGTGGTGCTTGTGTGCTGCGCTCAGGATCTGACCCTGTGGCTCCTCTGAGAAGCTCTCTCCAGCTCAGGACCAGCCATCCTCCTGTATAGCAAAGCTACGAGTGATAGCGCAGATAGTCCCTCAAAATGCTCCACATTCCTGGCAACTTCTGAAAAACCTAAAATTATGTTCCTGTGCTTGTTCTGCTCTTGTCTCCAACCCAAAAACTAAACAAGAGCCCTCTGACCTTGTCTTCCCCCAACAGCAGTTCCACGGCAACAATGAACTACCAAACATTTTGGCATGTATAGAGACCTTCCCAGGTGGCTTTCCTCGCTGGTTCTGGGGGAGCAAAGCTTACTTTACTATCTACGACCCCGACTATATGAAGGTGATTCTGGGGCGATCAGGTGAGAGTGACATTTCACTGTGGACACATAAGCACCTTTCTCTTTGGTACCTGTCCTAGACTGTCAAATTCCAGAATCGTGTAGCCCTGCACTCTTGAGCTACCATTCTTCCGGGCCACCACCCAGCACATGAGCACCAACACTCAGTATGGAAGATTCAAACCCCTCAGCCAAGAGTCTTTATCTTTCTTTGTAATTTAATCAGATTAAGATGGTAAGTCATGTAGTTTATTCCAGATCTGAAAAAACAATTGGCTTGAGTTTGAAATCCCTAATTTTTATCCGCCTGGAATCATAGGATAACTAAGCCACCATCCACTGTAATTACACACACACACACACACACACACACACACACACACACCACTCGTCATATTTGTCCTAGTCTTTGACTTTGAGCACATGGACTGTTTCTCACCATCCCAGCCCCAGAGGAGTCCAGCTACTATTACATGAATCCTACCTTCCTAAACCTGACTGTTAGGACAAAGTTTGAAAGGAATATGAGGAAATGGACAGAGATACAGGATAGTTTGCCAATCGTCAGCACTCAAAAGATCACAGAAGCCCAGGGTTTCAACCCCAGCTGCCTCGGAATTGCCTGATTTATCCCATTTCTTGTTAAGCCATTATTTCCCTTTCAGATCCAAAGGATAATGATGCCTACAGATTGCTGGCTCCTTGGATTGGTATGTATGTCTAAATTGGGAATGTGATCTACTCCCGATTAGACTTTCCAAGTGCTGTGTCTGGTTCATAGAATATGAAATGTGACAGGATAGCACTGTAGTGATCTATCCCCAAAGCTCTACTTCTGACCCTTCACTTCTCCAAATAGCCCTATGTGAACATCAGCTTGATCTACCTCCTTCCAACTCTTTTGCAATGTTTGTCTCACAGCTGTCATAATCACAGCATGTATGCCAGTTCCTCTAGCTAGGAAATTTATGTTCTGAACTGTACCATTCTTCAGAGTTGTCTTCCACTTCATACCACCACCATCCCAGTTTATCTAATGGTCTCTCTGATTCGATCCCACACATAAACACACCCACCTCTGGCCCAGGGTATGGTTTGCTCTTGCTGAATGGACAACCATGGTTTCAGCACCGGCGGATGCTAACCCCAGCCTTCCACTATGACATTCTGAAACCCTATGTGAAAAACATGGCCGACTCCATCCGATTGATGCTAGTGAGTTCATTTGACTTTCTTCTCCTCTGCTCCCCTCAGCTCCACTGTCCTTTCTGCTTCAGCTGCTGATTCTGCTACTGCTGCTACTGCCACAGCTTCAGCAGCAGCATCTTCTTTCTCCTCCTTTTCTTCTTACTCCTTATATTCTTATCTCTCTTTCTCTCCCAAACTCTTTCTTCACCTACTCAGAGTGTACAACAACAAGCTCTGTGTGTACATTCTACTATAAATACAGGTTCTTCATTTGAAGAACCTTCCAGGTACCAGCCAGGATACAGCCAAACTTGCTCATTGTCTAAGACAAAGAGCATCATAGTAGATAGATACTCAAATACCTCTTCAAAACTTCAACTTCAGAGGGACTTCCCAGAATGATACTTAGTCAGGGTTCCCTTGTGTCTCAGTGCTTCTGCATAGACTTGAGTGATCATCAGAGAAATGAGCTCCACATCCACGTTATCATAGCCAAAACTGCCATACCACCACCTTTCAAAAAGACTTTGGATTCTGATTGTCTTAATTAACTGGAACTGGCTTACAATTCAGAGATGTAGTCCATCATCATCATGGTAGAAAACATGGAAGCACACATACATGGTGCTGGAGAAGTAACTGAGATTTCTACATCCTGGTCCAAAGACAGCAGGAGCAGAGTGAGACACTGGGTGTGCCTTGAACATCTGAGACACCAAAGCCAGCCCCTAGTGACCATTTCTTCCAACAAAGCCCCACCTACTCCAACATGGCTACACATCCTAATAGTACCACTCTCTATGGGCCAATGAAGGCCATTTTCATTCAAAACAATTCAGATTTTCATTTGTTCACACTGACTCAGTTCTTCTCAGCAAGGTTTTGATGAATACATAGTAATTGAAGTTACTAGTGACTGCCATTAGAAATACCCGTAGTAGCTACTTGGGTGTTTGTTTGTTTGTTTTTTTTTTGTTTTTTTTTTTAATGCTCAATACATGAAAGTGCTACCATCCTCTCAGGTTGAGATCAGCCCTCCAAACACTGATGCATCCTCTTCTTTACCCCTTGAAAACAGCATTGCTTGTCAAATAAAACATCTTAACTAGTTGCAAACATTTGAAACTCGTTTCCTATCTTATGGGTTTCAACATTTAATTTTGAAGTAGTTTACAAGAATGTAAGTGTTTTTTCACAAAGATTTGTTTTGCAATCTATAGAACATCTATTATCCAAATTAAAGAACTTATAACACAGTATCTAGAAATATAGAGAAAGTATCCAGACTATTGAGCACAAGTCTTCTGGGAAAATTAGGCCAATGCTCCCCTCCTACTGCAGGACAAATGGGAACAGCTGGCTGGTCAGGACTCAATAGAGATCTTTCAACATGTCTCCTTGATGACCCTAGACACTGTCATGAAGTGTGCCTTCAGCCACAAGGGCAGTGTCCAGGTGGACAGGTAAGAGACAACCCTGCAACTTCAGGGCCTTTGGCCTTACCAACTGGTATGGACTTATCTGAGATGCAGGTGAGACATCTTGGATACTCAATCAATAGTCTGACCCCAGGCCCAGGTCAGTTTCTGACCCAATCTAACCCTACCCCAACCTCAGGACACTGATCCCTAGCTGAGTTGGATGCCTAGATAATTCATGCAACCTTTTACAGGATTGAAAATTACCAGGGTTATAAGACAGAATCAATGTGTGCCTCAATACTGTCTGTTCCTACCACATAGAAAATTTCTCTCCAGAGTCCATTCTATCTGTGGGTCATTATCTCTCCACAGTCTAATCTGTTCTGTATCTTCTTCCTCAGCAATTACAAGGGCTACATCAAGGCCATTGGGGACCTGAATAACCTATTTTATTGCCGTGTGAGGAATGTCTTCCATCAGAATGACACCATCTATAGTCTGTCTTCCAATGGCCGCTTGGCCAACAGTGCTTCTCAACTGGCCCATGATCACACAGGTTCCATTTGTACCTCCTGTCTGCCCTCCTTTCCCAGAATCAGCTCAAAGGAGTTATTGATGACTTCTGAGGTAGATCCAGGCCTATCAGTGTCCCTTTAGAACCTGAGTCACACACACGCTGGATACTTTCACACTGTAAGTGTTGGGAGTTGGGCCATCAGAATGCTAGGAACTATGTGGGTGTACCATCATATTGGTAATATTTAGTGAGACCTGACCCTGCAGCTCAAACAGAGTCTGTTGTCCATGGTCCTGAGAGGATGTCTGACCTGTACCACATGGCACTGGTCTTCTAAACTCACCCACTTTTTACTTGCTGTCCTATAGAGAACACATAGTTTGGGAAAGGAGATGTATGGGATTGCCATAGTTCTGGGGTCTGTGTGCTAACTGGTGTTCTGAAACAGACAGAGTGATCAAGCTGAGAAAGGAGCAGCTGAAGGATGAGGGAGAGCTGGAGAAGGTCAAGAAGAAGAGACGTTTGGATTTTCTGGACATCCTCTTATTTGCCAGAGTGAGTGTGTATAACATAAGCCTGAGAGTCTTCTGGGAACACAAAAGGAACAAGCACAGCTCTGATGACACCCGTTGCCTCCCTCAGATGGAGAATGGGGACAGCTTATCTGATGAGGACCTGCGTGCCAAGGTGGACACATTCATGTTTGAGGGCCATGATACCACAGCCAGTGGAGTCTCCTGGATCTTCTATGCTCTGGCCACCCACCCTGAGCATCAACAAAGATGCAGAGAGGAACTTCAGAACCTCCTGGGGAATGGATCTTCCATCACCTGGTAAGAGTTCTTTGGGTAGGGAGGACCCTCTGGTCTCCAGTCTACCTGACCTTCAAGATGAATGTTGTTTCAGGGACCACTTGGATGAGATGCCCTATACCACCATGTGCATCAAGGAGGCCCTAAGACTCTACCCACCTGTTCCAGGCATTGTCAGAGAGCTCAACACACCTGTCACCTTTCCTGATGGACGCTCTCTACCCAAAGGTGTGAGTTCTTTAGGCCTGTTCACCTAAACTCATTCTAAAGATAATGGAGGATCAGAAGTGTGAGCTTCAACAGTTATGAATTCCTCTGGATGTCTATTTTCTTTTCAGTAAATAAATGCTTCTTACTTATAAAGTACATTTTTTAGTGTGGGAAATAAGCTTAAATGACCTCCTATAAAGGTAAATCATGCCCAAATCTGTTGTGTTGCATGAATAGCATTATAAGCATCTCATTTATCAAATAGAAGTCCTTCTTCTTTTGAATATGTAGTCTTATCATGATGCTCCATTCCAGTTTGGGAACACTTGACATTCTTTGGTTATTAAAATCCAAGCTCGATTCCAAGTACCAACACTACGTAATTCATAGCCACACTTTTCTTCATATGTCATCACTGTCCAGTGTGCGTGTGTTTATGTTGGGGTTGGGAACACAGGCTTATGTTTGCACATCCAAATGGAAGCCAGAGGTCAACATTTGTCAAGCCAGAAGTCAACATTTGTCATTCCACAGATACCATTAGCCTTGATTTTTCTTTAGTCCAGGAGGTCTCTCACTGACCTATAACTCACCTATTAGTCTAGGCTGGCTGGACAGTGAGCCATCAGGACCTGCCTGCCCAAACCTTACGAGCAGTGGGATGACAAACAGGTGCCACCACACACAGAATTTTTTATATGAGTTTTGCAGATCAAGCTTGGGTCTTCATGCTTGTACAAGCACTTTACCAGTTTATCCGTCTCTCCATCCCCAATTATCACATCTTTTTATCATACTCTACATTTGATATAATGTGTAAATTTTTTATAAAGATCTGTTATTTACATATAGATAAGTAAATACAATGTGATTCCAGACTCTTGCCTAGGCTACACTGATGGTAAGACCCTACTGCTTAAGACACAACATCATCAATCACAGATAAAATCACCTGGTGCTCAACTGCTAGCCCTAATCCTTAACCCAAATATTAAATATGGTTTTCTTCAAGCTTGTTTCACTGATAACTTTACATTTATACATACACAGAACACAGAGAGAGAGACAGAGATAGAGAGAGGAGTTTTCAAAATTAAAAAAAATAGTCAAAGGTAAACAAAACAGGGTGAGTTTTTTTCTTTTCCTTGCAGAACTCCTTGACATCTTCAGTGTGTCTATCTGTATGTCTATGAAGGAAATAATGAGCAGAGTTTCTTCAAACTTTTTGATGGTTGACTTATTTGTCTCTAGCAAACATTAAAAGTAGAGTCCCATAATTGTTTTCTTCTGGCTTTTTGCTGTGGCTTAATATTTGTTCTGTGCCAAACATTATACAGCTATGTAATTCCCAGAGTCACATGTTAATGGGGTTGGAAGGGTGGAAATTTTGATAATTTATATTAATTTTGGTGGTGCCCAAGGCCTCCTGTTTGTTAAGCACGTACTCTACCACTGAGCTACTCACACCAATCTGAGAGGGGTAAGCTTACTCTGACTATGTAGGTTAGAGGTAAGGCCACTGGGTAGTGTACTGGGAGATTAGGATTGATCTCACATTGTTCAATATAGTGGCTTTAGAAAGAGAAGAAGAGACACCACTAAGAGCTAGACACCTGCCCTCACCATGATAGAATGCAACCGAGTGGAAGGAGCAGTTTCACCAGAATTCATACAATACTGTTTGAACATTCAGTTCCAAATCTGTGAGCTAATAAGCTTATCTTCTTTACAAGATTATATACATACATACATACATACATACATACATACATACATACATACATACATATATATATATACACACACACCACACACCACACACACAATGTGACTCAATTCTTAGAAAGTTCTTCACAAAGAAACCTTTGAATATGATATTATGACTTTATCTCTCAAATCCTATTCACTGGGATGTACAGGAGAGGTAAAGACTCAGATAGGGGCTAGGGAACTATGCTTCTTTTTTGCATAAAAGCAAATGAATGAGATCAGTAATTCCATGGCAGTCTCTGAGATGATGACAGCTCAGGCTGATGACAGAGATGAACGGATGACCAGATACGAGACCCATGTAATGTCGGGAAATCACCTTTCATCTCACACCTCATTGTGTCAAAATCCTAGCACTGCCACGTCCTACTTTGGTGATGATATGTAACCCCTCTCTGAATTTTAGTAACTCACCTGGAAAAAAAAATGGAGGATCATTGTGGGGACTGAATTAATGTTCATCTTTAGTGGAAATTCCTCATCAAATTTAAGTACTTTTTACTCCTAAAACTCAGGTTCATCTCTCTAGCTTCTCTTTCTTTAACTCCATTTTCATACTCCTTACTTGTGCCTCAAGTTCATTTTCAACTCACCCACATCTACCAGAGGTGATGATCTGTAGTACCCAGACCTTTTGTGCAATCACGTCCCCTGCTGTCTCAGGAACAAAGGACTCACCCCCTCTGTATAACCCATCTTCTCTCCTGTTCCCATCTGATCCACAGGTATCTCAGTCACCCTCTCCATTTACGCACTCCACCACAACCGGAAGGTGTGGCCAAACCCAGAGGTAGGTGGCCCCAGAAGAGGGCAGGGGACCTCAAGACCATTGCCTCCTATTGTTCCCACCTCAGGGCATCTTGTGCCCTTGTGAGTTTGAAGCAGGGGCCTGACCTCGGCCTGTCCTAACTGAGGCGCTGTCTCCGTGCAGGTGTTCAACCCCTCCAGGTTTGCACCAGATTCTCCCCGGCACAGTCACTCATTCCTGCCGTTCTCGGGAGGAGCAAGGTGAGACATTTTGTGCATGATGATGGAATGTACTGTGGAGAATATTTGCAGCATATATTGTTTTTTTACCTCCTGCATATATGACATCTCTCATTAGTGGCTATGGGGGAGAGCCTCTTGAAGATGTGTTTGTACACAAAAGGAGAGTAGCATTTCAGGGCACACTATGAAGACATTAACCCATTGTTCTCCCCATTCTCCAGCCAAATTTCTACATCAGTGGATGCCACACACTTGGGTGTATTCTAATATTTCCCTCACATTAAAGATGGGACTTTAAATTGATATTTTTCATGTGAATTTGACTTCAGGTGTCCAGCTTTTCAAATTTTGGAATTCTTAAGGGGGCATTCCTTTTACCAAACCTCAGCCTGGCCCACCACCCTTAGAGTTCTCTAGAATCTAATTGCAAGTGATTAATTTGCTTGGGCGTCTGCCATGTACAACTGTCAAGTCAGATATGTGAAGTGTTACAGTGCGTCTTTTGAAGGAATAGTTACCCCACTGTGCATATACTCTGTCTTTGCAGTCTCTCCAAACACAGTTTTTGAATCAGTGTTGACATTCATGTCCCTTTTGCATTTGCCCGGTGGTCAAAACTTGACAGATAATGGGTATTCCTCAAATTCATACTTAGAGGCTGTATAGTTTAATTTCAGAAAAAAAGGCATTAAAAAGGAGAAAAGTAAACTGTTTTTTAATTAAACCCTCTGTTTATGTATAACGCATGGGATTTTTTAAAGGTTTCTGATGAGTGAAATATAAAACACTCTTGAAATAGCTACTGAACCAGACAAAGCTTCTAAGAAAATCCTCAAAGGCTCCCATTGGACCCGACTCACTGTAAGCTTTAAAAAGTAGTGTAGATGCAGGGGTTGTTTGTTTGTTTGTTTGTTTTTGTTTTTGTTTTTGTTTTGAGCCTATGTTTCATGGATTCCTCAAGTGGCAAATCAGCTTTCACAGAACAGGCTTTAAGTAAGTTGTTCTTCCAGGAATAGGCTATCTAGCGCTTGGTGTACTTCAGGATTGAAAGCTTCCACTCACTGCAAATCATGTCACCACCACTAGAAGACAGGAAAGTACTGCATAACTCAGCTTAAGTTGGAATGAACCAGGCTGCTGAACCAGACTTGCCTGGAGCTCATGATTCCTCTGCCTCTATTTCCAAGTGCTGGGATTCAGGCACAGGTTACCACACCTTGCTTTGGTCAGAATTTTTTAAATCTTCAATGTATTTCATTTCATTTTTTTCGTTCCTTAAATCCAAATGAATTAAATTTTAAGACCAAAAATATTTATTAAAAGTGTAAATTTTTTATTAATTACAGTTTATTCACTTTGTATCCCAGCTGTAGCCCTCTCCCTCTTCCCCTCCCAATCCCATCCTCCCTTCCTCTTCTCTACCCATGCCCCTCCCCCAGTCCATTGATAGGAGAGGTCTTCCTCTCCTTCCTTCTGATCTTAGTCTATCAGGTCTCATCAGGAGTGGCTGTATTGTCTTCCTCTGTGACCTGGTAAGGCTGCATCCCCCTGAGGAGGAGGTGATCAAAGAGCAGGCCAATCAGTTCATGTCAGAGACAGTCCCTGTAAACAGAGAATTCTCAATAGAGGAATATCAAATGGCAGAGAAACACTTCAAGAAATGTTCAACGTCCTTAGCCATCAGGGAAATGCAAATCAAAATGACCTTAAGATTTCACCTTACACCCATCAGAATGGCTAAGATCAAAAACTCAAGTGACAACAATGCTGGAGAGAATGTGGAGAAAGGGGAACCCTCCTCCACTGCTGGTGGGAATGTAACCTTGTACAACTACTTTGGAAATCAGTCTGGCACTTTCTCAGACAATTAGGAACAGCGCTTCCTCAAGATCCAGCTGTATCACTTATAGGCACATGTCCAAAAGATGCTCAGGTATACAAGGACATTTGCCCAACCATGTTCGTAGCAGCATTATCTGTAAAATAAATTTTTAAGTTGCTCCCATGGGTGTCAGGCGCTATGCTAGATAAAAACACAGGAATGAATGAAACTATCTTATCCCTGCCTCCAAGATTTCAAAAGTGTACTCTGCAAAGACAAATATATCTGTGATTAAAATATATTCTTCCGCTCGTTCATTGAGCAGTTTGCAGAATGTTCCTGGCATCATCCCATGCCCGGACTGTGACATGTCTTTGAATATAGCAGTGATGTTGCCTCACGGGCAGTCACAAGAAAATGTGAGCTAGCTGATCATTGGGCTGAGCCTTGAGAATATGAAGCCTGGGGGGAAAATGAATTCTCAAACACCTCAACAACTTGATCTGAAGTAGGAAGTTTGATGGGCAGGAAAAGGATGACGACAGCTGCCAGTAGAGGGTATGGCTCCCACAAGGCATCTGAATACAGCCCTACCTGATGGAGGTATAGAAGGTCAGTGTGGAGAGAGGGTCAAGGAGACCAGAAAAGTCCAGAAAAAAAAAACTGAAGAAGAAACGATGGACATTTCTGAAGTAGAGTTTGAAGGCTATAGATGCCGATGAATTAAGGAGGTGGAGGTACCCTAAGGAAGAGATAGATGGGAAAGCCACTTGAGGGTCCCCAACATAGTTCCCCTGTAGAAACTTTTCTACTGGCATCTGATTCTACTCTTTGGAACCTATATCCTAGATTTCCCTAAATAGAGTAAACTAAGCAATGAGTAACTTACTAAATAATGCACAAGTTTGAGGTCTAATCCTTAGAATACTGATTTCATACCTCTGAAAAGAGAACTAGGGTCAAAGCAGCCTTGAAAAATGTAGAGGCTATGTCAAAAGTCAGGAGAGCCAAGGCCTGGGGTAGAAACAGGTATGACCTATAATGACAGAGTTTAAACTGAACCTGTGACAGTAGGCCCTAAATGCTGTTCTGGAGTTTCAGGAGTCATCCCTTAAAATAGGTCAGAGGCTAATGAGTTTTATTGTCTCTTTCTGACCCAGGAACTGCATTGGGAAACAATTTGCTATGAATGAGCTGAAGGTGGTTGTGGCCCTGACCCTGCTCCGCTTTGAGCTACTGCCAGATCCCATCAAGGTCCCCAAGCTCTTACCACAACTTGTGTTGAAAGCCAAGGACGGGATCTACCTGCATCTCAAGAAGCTCTAGTAACTCTGGTAGGAATAAGGCCACAGTCTATGAGCACACTGCCGGCATCCCATCTGCCTGTCATCTGTCCCTGTTACCATCTCGCTTTCCCTGTGCTCATCTTTCTTCCCACATGTTTGTTCCATGGCCTCCCAGCCTCCTATCTGTCTGCCCATCTCTCACTCACCTTCCTCTAGAGTCCCTGTTCAGTTTTCTATCTCCTATTCACATCTGACTGTGCACCTGATCTTGAATCTTTTCCAGCCTCCTCTCCTTGCCTCTTCCCTCTGTCATCTTACTTTTCCCTACAAATTTTTCATGATACCAATAATCAACTGTCACAACCTTGGTGGTCTGAAATAACAAAAAGTTGTTATCTTACAGTTCTGGAGCTCAGACACTGGCAAAAAAGTTATTGGTGTGACCAACCTTCTTTCTGAAGAGTGCTCCAGAGAGTCCTCGGGATACATCATCATTCCTTGACACTGGAACATGCTTTGTAGCCAGCATTCTCCCCAACACCTCTCTTCTAATTTCCTTCCCTTTTACAAATGCTCTTGTGACAGCATCAAGTCCACTAAACTATCCAAGATAATTTTCCCATTTTGATATGCCTTATTCAATCTAACCTATTAAGTTCCTTTTGAATTATGAGGGAACATTCATGGGCTCCAAAACTCGGGGCCTAAACATCACTGTGACACCATTATTCACCCTAGCACTGTCTTCACATGCCTGTCACCTGGTATGTTTGTCTAAAGTTCTCCTGCATCGTCTCTCTCCTCCCGACTATCCCTCACACAAGTTTCTCTGTCTCCCCTCCTTTCTGCAATAAAGTTCCCAGTGTCACATGAAGTGTTTGTCTTCCCTTAATAGCTGTGAACTCAAGTTCCCATGCTTAAAACTGCTCCTGCCTAGGAAATCATGAAATTTGCAGGCAAATGGTGGCATCTAGAAAAAATCATTCTGAGTGAAATATCCCAGAAGGAGAAAGACAAACACAGTATGTACTCACTTATATAGACCTATAAGATATGATAAACATAATAAAATCTATACACCTAAAAAAGATAATCAAGAGAGCAGACATGGGGTAAGATGATCAATCCTCCTTTAGAAAGACAGATGGGATGTGCATTGAACATTGACAGGAGTCTACTGAGCACATCTGAAAGACTCTAACTAGCAGTGTTTTCAAAGCAGATACAAAGACTCATGACCAAACCTTCGCAGAGTACAGGGAATCATATGAAAGAAGGGGAGTTAGTATGATGGGGAAAGGATAGGAGCTCCACAAGGACCAAATATATCTGGGCACAGGGTCTTTTCTGAGACTGACATTCAACCAAGGACCATGTATGGATATAACCTAGAACCTCTGCTCAGATGTAGCCTGTGGTAGCTCAGTAACCAATTGGTTTCCCATAGTGAGGGGAACAAGGACTATTTCTAACAGGAACTCAATGACTGGCTCTTTGACCTCCCCACCCCCCAAGGGAGGAGCAGTCCTATTAGGCCACAGAGGAGGGCTTTGCAGCCAGTCCTGAAGATACCTGATAAAACAGGATCAGATGAATGGGGAGGAGGTCCCCCCCCCCATCAGTGGACTTGGAAAGGGGCACGGTGGAGATGAAGGAGGGAGGGTGGAATTGGGAGGGAATGAGGGAATGAGGGAGCGGGACACGGCTGGGATACAGAGTTAATAAAATGTAACTGATAAGAAAAAAAATAAAATTTAAAAAAATGTTAAAAAAAAAAAAGTAAAACACATTTTAACAGGAAAAAAAATTGAATATAAATACCTAGAATCACTAAATTGGTAGGTCATGGTTACAACAGACCCATTCTGTATAATTTTCATTTCCTACAAGCTAGCAAATAAAAAGATTAAATAAATATGCTTTTTAAAGATAGTAATAGATAACTATATTAAACATTAACTTTAAAAGATCCTGCTCACACAAACATACCACAATCAGTGTGACATTTTTGTTGGATCAATGTATTCTTGTAATTTATTGTAGCTTAGGAGAATTTCCAATTTGCAAATAGGGAACTTAGCATGTCTAAGGACTAGTCTTAGATTTTCTAGCCTCTTGACTTTCAAAGCTTTCCAAACACAATAGTTTATACCACTGCATAATATGTAGTTTAACTTCTAAATGTAAAGAGTGAATAGCTGATTTGTAAAATAAAATTTAGTCTTTATATAACAAACAACCAATCCATGGACCTCCATTCTTGGCATATGTGTAAATAAATATTGGAAAACCAAAACAAATAAAAAAAAAAAACTGCTCCTGCCTGGATCAGGATCCATCATGCATCCTCTGCCTTTCCTGGTATGCCATATTCTGCTTCCTGGGGCTTCCTGGGGTGGGCTTCTCATGGATTCAATGACTACAACCAAGAAGCCTTCCTAGTCTTCTACCTACCAGTGTGCTCGGCTAGCAAAGGCTTGTTCTGAGGAACAGCCGAAGTGGACAGAGTGGATACTCTGTACCTGACCAAGGGGATAGCCAGGGCAGGAACAGAGCCCAAGTTGTCATGCACAGAATGTTCAAGGAATACATAGTCTCATGATAGGCATGCTGAGAGAACCCTCGGAAATAAGAGCCAGCCGAGGACAAGTGTTCTCACCCCAGGATTCCAGGTGGAGTGACTCTATAACCAGAAAGTGATTCTACTGCCTGGAAGCAATGAGCAAGACCTTGGCTCAGTTCGCCGTCACGGACATTCCCCCTCCAGGATACAAAGAGACACTCATGTAAGCACTCTCCACACCCACAGCACATCCCACCCGCACATGTGCACATGCATACCCAACCTCGACGGAGCCTCCGGGGGTGTTCGAAGAGTCATAAAGCTGAAGCAGTGGTCATCTGTGATAGCCACAACTTCCAATGTCCACTCTCCCTCCCCCAGGAGGTTCCAGTACACACACACACACACACACACACACACACACACCAGTTCAGAGTCCTTGAATTTATTTCCACTGATACAAACATTCAAAGAAGAGCTGATATTAATGATAGTGTCTTGATAAAAAGACATCAGAGTCAGGAAAGCCTCAGCTCAAGCTCCTTCTAGACTAGTGTCCCTCAGGTTCCTTCCTTAATATTAAAATGTAGTCACACCTTCCTCCTATCAGAGAAGGGTAACTCTACTTTGTTCATGCCACGAGTGCCAGGGTGCTAAAGATCTGAAATGATAGTTTAGACTCAGATGCCACCTAGAGATGCACAGTGCTTATGACTGGGGAATCGGCACCTGCAGAAGATCTAGAATGACAGTTTAGACCCGCATGATAACTTGAAACCTTACTACATTTGTTCAGAGATCAGTTTATCTGTGTGTGTCAAAGCTCGCAGCAAACAAGCACAACTACAATGGGACCTCTGCATCCCAGCTGCTAGTTTACAAAGAGGTCTAGGTCTTGACAGGGCTTTATAGGGGTCAGCAAGTGTCCTGAGGCACATCTTCCAAGATGTGGCCTTCTTCTAAGCAGGAAAGAATTGGTGGTAGGGGAGGTATGCGGGTGGCAAATTTCCCTGGATGCCCTAAAGCAGTGGTTCTCAACCTTCCTAATCCCTCGATCTTCTAATACAGTTCCTCATGTTATGGTGACCCCCCCCACAACCACAAATTTATTTTCATTACTACTTCATAACTGTAAGCTGACTACCATTGTGGATCATGATGTAAATAATCCGTGTTTTCTGATTTTCTTAGGTAGCCCCTGTAAATGGGTTGTTTATTCCCCAAAGGGGTCATGACCCACAGGCTGAGAATCACTGCCCTTGAGACTTCACCACATCTCTGAATTCCTGGCTCCTGCCTCTGACCCTAGCTTCTAGTGCCCTTTCGTCCATATGGGGCTAATCTCTGGATTTGAACTCCTAGTGAACTTAGACCTTGAGTCCTAGAAATAAATATAGGTGCCCAGAGCCATCAAGCAGCTGCTGCGTTGACTACGAGGGAAAGAACTCTAAGGGGTCATGTAGGCCCCACCCCTGAACTCCACCCAAAAAGTCCTTTGCACCTTCATGCCTCCCTTATGGAAAGGAGTTTCCTTCCTCCCAGAAAGTCCCCTTTTAATGCTACTGTACCACCTTCCCTAGAAATCCATGAACGCCCAGAAATACATCCCAAGAAAGAAATCACACCAGTAAAAACATATTTCATATTCTTTGACTTTGGTGATGAGAGTTTGCTTTAAAAATTAGCGTTTATTTTGTACAAATTTAGTTTAAGCAATTTTTCTTTATGTCCATTAGGTTCTAAATACACACAGAGATGGTTAAAAACAAACAAACAAAAAACCATGTCACTGAAGGGCCACCTACCCAAGCCATCCCTCCTTGACAAATCTCAAGGCAACATTTCCATTGTCTTCACTAAGGGCTGAAATGTATGTTTCTGATTTTTTATTTGGTTTGGGTTCTTTATTTGGTTGGTTGGTTTGGTTTTATTTGGTTTTGATTTTTTGGGACAGGGTTTCACTGTGTCCTGGAACTCACTTTGCCCTCAAGAGTGACCATGCTGGCCTCAAACTCACAGAACTCTGCCTACTTCTCCCTCCCAAGTGCTGGGTTTTGTTTGTTGTTTGTTTTAGAAAGACATACAATTATGAGAAATAAATGAAATTTCTCAAGACATCCAGATGTCAGCAAATGTTTGTGGATTAAAGGAATGAGTTCTACAGTCCAGGCACTGAATCATTAGACACACATGGTTACAAGGGAATGTCTTCCAGGAGACTGTCGGTGCCAATGCTCTCACATCCATAAGCCTCCAAAAGGCAGGTATCCATGAAGACTCACATTCAGTCTAGGAGGGCAATGTCCTAGGAAAAGCCACAGGCTGTGCTGTCCAGGCCTTGTTCTCTGAAGACCTACTTTCTGGACCCAGATCCCAGTGGCTTCAGGTGGAGGTGGATGCCATTTTGGGAGCGCAGGATTAGCTGGGGGAGCTTGATGGGCACCTTTGAGGGATCCAGAGAGAATTCAAAGCGCAGCAAACAAAGGGCTGTGACCACCTTCATCTCATTCATGGCAAACTGCTGTCCAATACAATTCCTACAGCAAGCAGCACAAAGAGGCATTAAGCTCTTGACTGTCCAGAGTGACAGAGTCCAGTTTCTTAGAGGCTCACAAAAAGTAAAAATAAAAATAAAAAACAATAACTATTTCAGACACATAATGGCCAATCGATTTGTTGACTTGAGCTTAAAAATCAAATTTTAGGAGCGTGTAAAGGGCCCCACTGGATAGCTTCATTTGGGAGTTCTGCTTTTAGTCTCTCACAGAATGCAAACACCTACCCCACCCATTTCCCAGGAACAGGAAAAAAAATAGAAAAAAGATCCCCTTGTCACAAAGCACTCCCTAATGATGCCTCCCCAATAA